ACCAACAGGTAACGGCAGGTCCGCGGCTGTAGGCTTGGAACTGGGCGAGGCCACCAACACAGTCTCCACGTCCTCTGGGTCCGGCTCCATGACCTCTTCCACAGTAAAGGACACACGAACTGGCTCTTGACCGGGTTTGGCCAGCGGAAACCGCCAGGTCCGGCTCGTGCCCGCCTGGTTCTGGAGGTGACTGGTTGCCACAGTCATGTATAGCTGCGGTCTCACCCGGGCCTGAGGCCTGCCCTTGGACATTTCATCAAACATGGCCCAGTCATCCCACTCCTGCGCTTGCCTGCTTGCATGTTGGTCCCAGGCTCGGCGGTCTTGCTCCAACGCCCTGTCCAGTTCCGCCTCATGGTGGAGCTGCATCTCCAGCATTGCACGCTCGTCCCTGTCATCAGCCTCCCGCTCCTCTGCCTCCATTCGTAGTAGCCTGTCCACTGCTTCAGCCTGGCTCAGCTCTGTGGTGCCACTCTCCACGAACTCCACCTCGCCAGACCCGGCCGCCCGCGACAGCCCTTGAGTGTATCCGTAGGAGCTGATCCCACCATCGTGAAGCCCATTGCTCCAAGGCCGGCGTCTGCGCAGCCACACCACAAGCCGCCTCATTCTCCCCGGCCTGGGTCACGACCTCCAGAAGCGCCTCAACCGCGTCCAAGAGGTCGTCCGCTCGCCACATGGGCCCACGATAGGCACGCAACCGGCGCCTCAAGGTCTCAGCCTGCGCCCTTGCCACTCCAGGGATTCATGTAGGTCGGCCTGGATGCGAAGAGGAAGATCAGAGTCACGGCCCGGTCGTTGCATAAGCGAGGTCACATCCTGCGCCATCGAGAGGTACTGGAGGAGCCCGGATTCGTCTCCTGCCGCCTCCCCTTCGGTCCCATCCGAGTTGCGACGGACGTCATTCGGCCCAGACTCCACCGGGTCGTCTTCATCCAGCGACACTTCAACCATCGACGCCAAGTGGGACAGTTCGCCCACCTCCGACATGAGGGAGCGAACCACAGTGACGAACGCCACAGTCATCATTTGCTGCTGGTTGACGCTATAGCCCCGGAGGATGTCGATCATCCAACTCCTCCTATCATCAGGGAGGATGGGCGCGCCTTGTGCCGTG